ATTTTGATTTTTCACACAGAAAAAAATTATGCTATTTATGACATCATTACCGAATACTATAAACTTGATATGAATATTTCAGTAGGGAAAATGCAACTACTAAAATCTGAATTTAGAAGGGACTTCCATCTCTACTCTCTAATGATCACATGTGATTTAGAATGAACACGGGCTTTAGATCTGAGATGCTTTAGAAAGAATTGCTTTTATTTACAAAATGATATCAACAGAAGAAAAATATTCTTTTAATGTAATACCATTTTTAAAAAAATGACAGAAAACAGATGCAGCATAAATAGTAGTGTCTCAAGAACAATTACCTTACTTTCCTCTCTATTAGCAAATTCTTAAGGTTTAATCCCCTCATCTAGAAAAACACCTATGTTGATGGTTTTGCATCCAATGGTAGGATGGATGGTGTGATATTACAATGTCTCAGATACAAGTATCTTGGCTCTGATTATGTCATAAAGCAGGAAGCAGTGTAAAACCACTAGTTACTTTGTTTTCCAAATATCCAAAATTATTAATAACTAGCATGCTCTTTAATCCAGCACTTTTAAGACATGGAAAGGACAGAAGCTTGGAACTTCTTCCTGAAAGTGAACAAACTTTTATATTTTTAGCATTTCCTACATGCTACAAAAAGGAAAAAAAAAAAAAAAAACATAAGAAAAAAAATGTAACTTGTTCACAAAGAAAACTGCTCTAATAGGCTGGAGCAGTGGTTTCCAAATGGAGTCTCCAGAGCACTAAAATTTAACAATGGGGCCTAAGCAGGTATTTTCGGGGAGGCAGGGCTTCAGGTCCTCTTCACTTATTTTTATCAGTGGCTCTTTCGTTATTTTAGATAATGGAGTTCCAAAGAAATTGGGGAACAGCGCATTTGTCCCAAATTCCATTTTGCATACTGTGCTTGGTCATATATGACACATCTTTAACACATTTAGTAGGGTGAAACATTCTATATTGAATAAAACTAATTATACAGAGTTTTGGGTTTGTAAAACATATTTTCTTCACATGGAAACTGAATTAGTCACTTCTTTTATCATTTCCAATGCTAAGATTCCAAATGTATTATTACATACCTTGTTTACAGGACTGAGAAGGCAGTGTGACATGGTGGGTGTGGCAGTTCATTAGGTATCAAAGGACTTACGTTCAAATCTTAGCTCTTGTCCCTCACTGGATATGAGATCTTAGCCAAGTTTAATCTTTTGATGGTTAAACTTTATGAATCTGCCTCTTTAAACTCACAAGATTTTAATGGGGATAAGTGGCGGAAATCAAATGACAATATATACTTTGAAAACCTCAAAAAAATCACATAATTACTAACATTTATCTTAGTATAATTGATACGGTCTTCTTTCAATTATGCATGCAGATATAGATTGAAATCACCCTCTCTGGAACATCTTACCTTAAAAGAGTTACTTTTAATGAAAGAAAAGGAAAGCTTTGCTAACCTCACTGCTCTGATTCAGCTCAGGCCAAGTCTGGTTTAGTGACGGCATCGATGGTGACTTGCTTGGAGGAGCTTCGGCAGGAGAGCCTGAATAACCTACCTCACCTGGCTGATCCCCAACATCTGCAATTTAAAAATAGAGAAATTCTCTATAAAGAATACACTGTAGTTTATTTTAGGCATATTTATTTATTTAAAAAAGCTAAAAGATGACTTTCACAAGTAGTAATATATAATCTAAATCTCCTTTCCTTATGTTCTCAGAGTCAGCATTTTAACAATCAGACACTACTTATTCCTGCTACTTATGGTCTACCCGAAATCATAGCCTTTCATGAAAATAAAATCTATTTTATTTAGAAATAAAAAGGTTATACATAATAATAGTGTAATAGTCACATGCTTTAGAGATTTCTGATAAGAGAAATAGATTTATACCAGTTTCCAAAGTGCATGCTACTCCATGGAATACTAAACAGTAGGTGGCTTTGAAAAATTAGGTTTTCTGCTCAAATAAGTTTGGGGAAATAATAATTCTCTGTTGGAGCATCCGTACACACATTTGTATATCAAGACTTGTGATGTCTCAAAGTAAATAGCTTTAAATCATTTTTTTTTTTTCCAGACACACATCATTTTCATCAAATAGAATCCCTCAGTATTCCCCTGGAATATGCCGATTTATACTAATTCACTAACATTTTCTCTACAAATCTCCCTTGTTAACAAAAAGCAGCACATACTTGCAAGGCACACAGCAAAAGGAGAGTCCCCAGCCACAGGAAAAAAGTCAAGCCCGTATGAAACTTAACTTTTATCATTAACCTCACTGGCACTTACAGACTTAACTGAGATAGTTACAAATCCATGATACTATTTCAAAATGGTTTTTGAAGTATTTTGAGGTATTGTATTCTACTTTTAAGCACAGTTACACCATTCCAATATCACTATCTGATCATGAGCAAGTTGAATAAAACAGCACCTGAGTTTCTCCATCAGAAAGCTGCCACTAATTGTTAGCACTATACTTCAGATTTCTAAATACTCAGCCATATATCCTAGCATTGTATAGCTTTCAACTTTTCAGTCTATTCATTAGTAAACCCTTTAAGTTTTAGTGCCTAACACAGGACTTAATACATAGGAGCACTCATATATTTACTGAATCAGCCATCTTGTGTATTCTTTTTTATTTAAATTCATTCTCCTTTACTGCCATTTTCCTAGAACCACAATTAAGTACTGATTAAGTACTGATAGTTGAAAAAGTTCTCAAAATGTCCCTTCTGCCTATTCTGTTACATGCCTCCCTCAAAATATTTCCTTTTGACTTACCCAGACGTTATACTTTTATAATTATACCAAATTGCAAGTTCTAGTCTGCAGTCCAGAATTGTCATCTAATTTTTGTTTTCTAAGATCAGAAATTATTTCTTTCTTAAGTCCTATATCTTCTCAATAGAAGCATCCGGGTAGTATAGAGGTAGGAAGCCTTCAGATGTTATCCTATGAAGACCTCAACTCAAAAGTTCTTAGAGAAGAACTTACAAAAAATTATTTAGGATAAATAGTAGTAGCAAATTCCCCACTGGATAGTTTTCGGTGGGGGAAAAAATTATGAACCTTTATCCCCAGTGGTAAAAGGGGAAAGGAGGACAGTAGCTATAAATTTGACAATTTACTGAAAGTCTACTAGAAGAATAATAAAGAAGTATCTTTAAGGGATTCCCCAAAGCAGGTGAATATTGAAGAAAATAAAAATAATCAGAATTAAAACAGTATTAGCTACAGAATGACTAATTCTCAAAAGAACTTGTTTAAAGCACAACTCTATTACTTTATTTTTAAACATCAATCTTAGGGCAATCTGCAGGTCCTGATTGGGCTTTCAAGTTCACGGTTCTCATGATTTCTTCTACTGATAAATTTAGGGCCAGGCTGTACCGCACCCCCACCTCAGGGCAGTTTCAATTTGGGACAGATTCCCGGAATATTTCTGATTCACTAGTACAAAGCTACAGTGGGTCTAGCCACTTGAAGCTAAGAAATGAATTGCTAGTCACCCAAATAATTGTACTTTATAACTATTCCAATACAGTTATTTTCCAAGAGTTGTAGTCCTCAAACTGTGGACCATAGACTCCTCCCTGAGAGTCCCCAAGACTCAGAGATATGAAAAGTCAAAATTATTCTTGTAATAATGCTTTTCCCATGCTGACATTGGCACTAAATACAGTGGCAACAAAATATATTGTACTCCTCACTTACAGCTATTGTATTCCCTAACCCCCCCATACATAAGTATTAAATATAGATAAATGAAAATAAACATGCATGCTGATCTCACCGATGAATGTTCAGGAAGTAGTAAAAATTAATTTTACTAAATCTCAGCCCTAAAAACACATCTTTCTCTGTATGTCAAAATGGGAAATTATATACACAGCATTTCTGCTACATAAGAAAGTAAAATGGTTGTCTCACAGAAAAGTACTTGTGTGATGCAGTTGTAAGGTGAACAAGTCACTTTTTTCATGGAATACCATTTTTCTTGAAAGAACAGCTGATTACAATAATTCAGACTTGGGTATTGGGCAGTGAGCTTGCCATTTCAAGGAAAGTATCGTTTTCAGTATTTGTTTCTAATGTTTACTAATGACAATGCTCAAGTTTTCAAGGTAAAACTCAAAATTTTTGAAAATGTATAACCATATCCATAATCTCAAGAGCTTCCAACACTTAAAGGCTTCTTTGATAAGATGGGTTATGAAATCAACAAATATACTTAAATATTTTATAACAAAATACATCAACATCTGAAAGATATGTATAACTCAATGAACTGATATTTTACAAATACCCAATGCATTATGGCATAAAACCAAGTAACTGTACAAAAATGCCTTAAGTGGCTTCAGCTTCCACACTGCAACTAAGCTTTAAGAAAGTAACTTTGTGCTTTGATGTAGTACCTAAGAATATCTACATCATCTGACAAAGCCATGAAATAGTCCTTCCTTTAATTGTGTGGGCTAGATTTTATTTGGAAACTTTTTTCTACTTAAGGCCGGATAGTAACTATTTTAGGTTTTATGGCTATAAGGTACCTGTTGCAACAATCCAACTCCACCATTACGGTGCAAAGGCAGTCCTAGGCAATCCATAAACGATGAGCACTGCTGGGTTTGAATACAATTTTTATAGACACTGAAATTTGAATTTCATATAATTTTCAATGTGTAATAAAATATTATTCTTTTCTTTTCCACAGTTAAAAAAAATTCTTAGCTTATAGGCTAATCAAAAATGGGTAGTAGGCTGGATCTATCCCACAGGCCTTAGTTTTTAGACCCCTGATATACCTCAAAGAAAACAACATATCCAACAGACAGTGTGGAAGCAAATATGACAATTTAGTTGTCTTCTATTAAGCCAGGTGTAAAAGAAATTTGCAAAAATATAAAACAATGCCACCCCTTTTATAATTTTTTTCTTTAATCTTGGGAGAATACGGTTATTTTCCTAAAAATATTTATGCCAATATGTAATAGATTTACTTTATTACATAAAGTAAAAACATACAAATTAATCAGTTTTAATTTCTAAGAATGTAACTATTGATAGAGTTAACCATGTAAACAAAGTCTCTTGGGGTCCACAATTTTTATGAATGTTTAAAGGGGTTTTAAGATTTAAAAGATTGTTCCACACAAACAAAAAACAACAACAAAAACCAACCAAATAAAAAATGATTTAAAAGTTTGAAAAATTACTGTCCTAGAACATCCAAAAATTATTTCTGGGATAAATTAGCAAAATTACACATTGCTTCTTTCCTATGTTCTAGAAACCAAAAGTCTGTGGACAACCATTCAGTCTGGAAATAAGCTATACCTCCTTCAACTCTGCTCCATGTAAGTACTCCAACAAAGAGCTTCCTGCCCACACACAAATGTTAGTCTTTAAGACTGTATTTTTCCGGAGGCAGGGGTGTAGTTTTACTCTTACCTGATGCAGTGTTCCAACCTAGCCTCCTGCTGGAACACTGTGTCAACCCTGCCTCCCTCCTGTGGGTTCTGCTCTGCCCCTGACATCATCAGAGCATCAGGGCTGAAAAAGAAGAGCATGAGCCTAAATTATTCGTTAAAGTTAACCCCAAAAGGGCTGTTATGCAAAAAGTATTTCCACGTATAAAAGTGTCTGAAAGAGACAACCCAGTATGATCACACTGATCTATGGCTTATTCTACATTTATTCTAAGTTTGCAAACACTGGAAGAAGTTTTCCCTCCTCTATCCTTTCAAAGAATCTGGAAAGTTCCCAGATTCAATTCAGTACAGTATACCTGCTAAACAACCTCTTTTTCAAAGAGCTTTAGTTTTATTTTACCCTTGTAACCTATCCATCCTAAATTTCTCCTATTTTCTTAGTATTATACATGATATACTAAAAAAATTATCTCAAAAGTTGACTGCCAGCTGATATTAGTCTTATAGAAATATATATACTTCCTTAAAGTCTTACAGTTTAAAACTTATTTTGCTCTAAGCAGCAAACAAATCTAGGATGTTATTCAATAATGAAGGTTCAATGTTCCAACCTCTTTAAATAACTTCATCAAGGCAAAAGTAACTTTTGTTTAAAGAGTATTATTCTTCTAAGAAAAAAATATGTAAAATAAAAAACAAACAAGTGTGGATAAATTTTAAGTCTTCAAGGAAAACTACAAATGGTAACTTTTTCATTCATATTTAAAAGACAGGCATAGCAACGCATATGCAGAAAGACAACATTTAAGATATGTTTAGTTTTTACTTGAATATTATATGCACCAAAAAACTAGTAAGTTTTATTTTCAAAATGAACTCCACTTTTCCTCAACACTTCACAAAATGGAAACTTAGTGAGTAAGACCACCTTAAAAGAGGGTCTATGTAGAAGACTGTTTTCAATTAAAACCAAAGGTTTTAAAAAAAAACAAAGTAAAAACGTGTCCAAGGTTTGAAAAGAAACAAACTATTCACCCAAAATTCTAATGAAACGGAACTTGCTGCCTTCTTACAGTGCTGATCAACATCTGACTCAACTATTACAGTTCAAAGAATATTACCTATAATATA